CTCTTCCATCCTATCTAAGGATTCCCTAAGACTACCTTCAATTGATTTATTACGTTCAGCCATACCTCCAGTAAAATCCCGACGCTGCCACCACTTTTGTAACGTGTCGGACCTGAGCGGTCAGTAGGTCCGTGCTCGGATTACCGAGTTTTACTGGGGTATGATTGAATGCAAAATATACAGATAATATGACACTTGCCTAGTGTCTTTAAATCAAGCGACCTAACTGCCTTTATGTTATATATATATATACAATAATACTGGCACCTGCCTGGTGCCTTATGACAATTGCCTAAATGAACGACTAACCATACAGGTCAACAGACACCTGCCTGACGTCTGCTGACAACTGATCTTCTATGTTGACACCTGCCTGGTGTCTTCTGCTAACCAGTAGCTAACTACTCTAGACAGCCAAGTGGCTCCAATACAATAAAACAATACAACTTTATTCTTTGCCACAGGGTACACTTTCTTCTACCCTCTAACACTTGAAATAACCTTGGTCAACGACTAATACAATTCGCCCAAACCAGATGGTAGACAGCAAATTAACCAAGACAAGTAACACACGGCAAATAGCTCCTTCCAAGTTGTATATACCAAGTTTCAAACGCCAAGTGGTAATGTACCAGAATGCAGACACAGGCCAGTTGGTCGTACTACCCTTTGTACTCCAACTTAATCAATGTTAATAAGTTTTCAGATACTGTATTAACAAAATACAACAAACTGCCTTTCTTTTGGCATCATAACTACTATTTTCTAAGACAACATCATTTATCAATATTTCTTGTAATTTCCTTATGTCAATCGACCAGTTAATTACAATATTTACATTAATTATCTACTATTATACAAACAACTAACGGGAGGTAACTCCTCCAACCGTTTCACTTGTTTGGCAGTATAAAAGGACGAAGCCTATTCATTTTCAAGTTCATTGTTGAAATATTTCTTCAGATATCGCGTTTTCACTGTCTCGAAACCCTGACATTTTATGTACGAGTTGACAATAATCATTTGTGGGCAAGATTGACAGAAAACCTTTGCATTAACCATTCTCAGCGTTTACATACTTGTGTGGCAGTATAAAAAGATGAAGCCTATTCATTTTCAAGTTCATTGTTGAAATATTTCTTCAGATATCGCGTTTTCACTGTCTCGAAACCCTGATATTTTATGTACGAGTTGACAATAATCATTTCCGCTAGGGAACCAGTTTAAGCACTCGGAGTTCCTTGGATGACCCGTACCTCGCACATAACCTCGCCTCGTTTGAATGGAGCGTAGCGGAGTCAGCCGAGGATTGCCGATTGCAGTTTAAGAGCAAGTTTTAAAGTTTAAAAGGCGGAGTGTCTAGTCTGCGGGAACCGGATTAAAAGAATATGGTGAACGTTCGCGTTGCAGTTTCATTACCAAATTCCAACAGGTGGCTGGGACTTTGGGGTACCAGTGCACGGTATTCCTGAAAGCTGTAAATATAATCCTCAAGTTCAAATTCACCTCTCGATGTTCAGACATGTACATTTTTATTTTTCATTTCGAAAAAAAGGCACATTGCCTGGAAATATGAGATATACTTAGGTAGGTAAATAATTAAAATTGCTGAAACTTAAACATATACCATACATGATATATTTTTAAGGGAAACTGCCCAATTACGTATGCATATTATGCCCCCTCTCCCCAAAATGCTATGCAATTTGATTTTGGTCAAAAATAGACATCCCCCACCCCCGATAATTTTGTTTAAAAAATAAATAGTGCTGAAAAATAATGTAATATCTTATATTAAACTTTACTACCCAAAATTAGGTATCCATAGTATGCCCCCATCCCCCCTTAACCAAGACTCTATATATATAGATGCACTTTGCATTTTGTACTGAAAAATTGATCAACAACAACACCTCAATAATAATTTTTTTAAAAGTAAGGGAGTAGATCCTAATGTTGCGGGTTTGAATCCCTTTGTGGGACGTGGAGACTAGTCATTCAAATGAGACCGTGCAAACCGAGGGCCTATGTCCCAGTAGATGCTGGCATAAAAAGATCCCTCACTTTTCAATGGTTGTCAGTTCCTATTATAGGAAATAATGTGCAGCTCTCCGCCGGCAAGCCTACATATGAGCAAAATATTCCTGAGAGGGACATTAAACAAAATACATTGTACTATCAATCTTTAACATGTTGAATGTCCCTCGAGAGAATTTAGAACAATTTCACACTTAGTTTGGACTTTCAATAAGGCGTGGCATTCTCGACGTTACATAGTTAGCTTCTGACATTTACACAGCTTTCCTTCACTGTTGAAATATACATGGGACAGAAATTCGGGCAAATGCCAATTAGTGTATCGAATAACCAATTGCATTGTCTCATCCTGCACAGAGGTGGAGCTTAAGTGGTTTTATCATTGTCAACAACAATTTAAAGTTCTTGATGCTATTAATGTCTTAACCAATGAGAATCTTTTCGCCATTTGGCAGGCGGTAAACATGTAGCGCCGAGAATGCCACGCCTTAATGAAAGTCCAAACTAAGCGTGAAATGGTTCTATCTCTTATGAGATATTGCCATTACCAGTGAAGTCCCTGTCGCGAGGGGATGCTCCGCTTAGCGGTGCCCTTGTTCCTGTTCAAGATTCATTGAAGTTATATTTCTCAATGCCGAGTCGGCATTATTTTAGCCACACATTGGCGATTTTTTTTAAAAACAAGGATATATGATCATCAGCCAGGAAGGATAACTCCAGATATTTATATTTAATTTGAAATGCATCAAAATGAAGCTTGAAAATGAAATTTTTTCATGCAACCATTTTCATTTTATTCATCTTCATAAGATTCAAAGTTTTTGGAAGTCTTAGAAAAGGTCTTTAAAAAGTTGACATTTGTACCCTATAAAGGAAATAAAACTAGAGAGTCTGCTATTGCAAGCAATAGCGTACGTCGGCCCGAACTGTTCCCCAATTTCCATGGCAACTATTGATAATTTCGGACAAGACTTTCATTTTTTGTATCACTAAAACAATACCATTAGCTAAGCTTGTACAACCATCAATTCGTATCAGTCGTTTAAGTACTTTGATTTAATAATCAAAGTTAAAGTATTTTCACTTTCCCCTGGTTTCCATGGCAATAATCGATTATTTGAAATTTTTTAAATGTGAATGGCACAACTACAATTACTAATCACTAAAATAAAAAAAAAAGTTTCATGACGAATGTTCAAGGGACCAGAGAGAACACTCGCAGACAAAATTCGTCGCTTTTTGCAGGTTTCCATGGCAACGGTAGCCATTTTGAAACTGAATGACCACACAACACAACTACAACCAGTGGTCGTCCTTTGAGGAAAGTTTCAGGAATATTGTCTTAGCCATCTCCGAGAAACGGCCCGGATAACAAAAAATGCGTACAATCGCAATATGTCGCCAGACTTCGTTCGGGGCGACATAATAAAACAGTTTTAGAGAAATAAGATTTTCTTGAATCCAGGCTTAGATTCAATTGCCTATTAACGATATGAAATAAGAAGTGATTTGCGGTGTCTTGCAATGATAGCAAAAGCCTTTTACACTATGTATTCTAGAATACATTACGGAAATAGAAGACAAAAAATACCAAATAAATATAAAAATCATGAGAATTTCTCTGCATGCCTGGTTACCTATGGTTTTTTTTTTTTTAGCTCTACTGGTCAGAGACCAGAAGACCTTATGCAATAGTAATGCGTCCGTCGTCCGTCCCTCTGTCTGTCTGTAAACATTTTTTTTTTTCAAAATGCTACTCCTCCTACAGTTTTGGTCTGATTTCAATATAACTTGGCACACAAGTAGACTACACTAAGATACATAATTCTATATATCAGTTTTTGATTTCGATGAACGGTGTTGCCCAGGTAACTAAAAGTAGAAATTTCTGTGAAGTACTTTCAAAATGCTACTCCAAATTAATACAGTTTTAGTCTGATTACTTGTATAATACAATTTGGCATGTAAGTAGACTACACTTAGATACATGATTATCAGTTTCGTGTTTCTGATTTTGATGATTGATGTTGCCATGGTAACTAAAATTGCAAATTCTGTAAAGTTTTATTTAAAGCTACTTCTACAGTTGTAGTCTTAATGCAATCTTCCCACAAAAGAGACTTGATTTTGTAAAGTTTAAAGTCCCAACTGCTTCTTTCTCTTCCTTTATTTTAAGTACAAACCAGTAGAGCTACAGTCTCGACAGAGAGTTCTGGTTTAACCTAAATTATATTTGTTGATCAATTTGCAATTAGAAAATGCATTGCTGATATTCCAATTCGCTTTTTCTGCAAAAATATTGGAGATTTGACAATTCTCCCGATGTAATTATTTTCTTCATATGTTGAATTTTATTTGTAGGAATTAACAGGTGCGTGTTCAAACTCAAATTGCGACACAAATGAAACATGCATCCCTCTTCCGTCAGGAAACTATACTTGTGTTCTATCAGGTGTGTATTTATTATTTTGTAAATTTTCTCACTCTTGGTAAAAGTATGACAACGCTATAAAGTACTTTTGCATAAATCCATTGAAGTATTGGAGATAGTTTACTTTCCATTTAAAGTCAAAAAAAGCCGTCGGCTCAGGTGAGCTAAAAATATCAATATTTGCTAGATTGTGGTGTACCCGTTATACCAGGTGCCGATATGAACAGTGTTGGAAGGTGGGATGCCATTGGTATCAGGCGGACGATGGTACTGGACTGTTTACTTAACTATCATAAGGTTGGAACAGGACTTCTGAGATGCTTAAATAATGGAGAATGGACCATAGACCTCAACTGTGGTAATTTGATTGCAGACTTGCAAACAAAAAATACAGAGAAATACTTGTAGTTCATGAGACCTATTTGCTACATTTCGGCAATCTAAGATATTGAAATTTAAAAGACCTTAAATTCTCTGATTATGAAAGGACAACCAACTTTGATGTCCTGTGACGCTATCACCATGTATAAAAATGCGTTTAGCTGTTGTAAGTGAAATTTTTAATTAAAAGACAACGATTTTAAACCATATTGGTTCGTACATATACGAACCAACTTATTAAGTACCATACAATTCAAGATTTTTTCTTTTTTCCGATTTCTTTTTTTTTTTTTTTTGCAGGATGGCACACATACGGGAAGAATCAATATCTGTTTTTTCCTGACTTAAAAACATGGGACCTTGCTAAGGTTAATAGTTATTAATGTGATTATGTATTAGAAAAAGAGTCAAGTTATATCTATTTTTTAAGTAGATTCTGACAACCTGATGAATTCAAAACATTTATTACTTCATATATTTCTTATACATCTATATTAAGATTAAGGGATTTAACGAGGTTAGATTCAATATTTAAACTCAAACTTTTTAAATTTGTCGAACATATCTATTTATAACTTAATTAAATATCAAAACAAACCTTTGGTTGTATATATACTTTATTTGACACTTCAGTACATTTAATATGACGTTTTTGCACTGAAATTTGTGTGTTGATCCAAAAGCACATCTTCGACGTTTTCCTCTAATATTTTTATCCAAATAAACCATGGGACCAAAAAACAAACTTTAAGAAATTTTTTAAAAGGCACTTTAAAATTGTGACAAAGAATAAATTTCAATTTACTTCGCATAATCAGTTATTTGACCTTTCTGCACTGACAAAATGGTATTTTTCTAGAATTAAAAATTTTACGAGAATAAAATTATTTCAAAGTCTTGAACTTTTGCTTAATTTAAGCAGATTGATCAATGCTGTCTTGTATATTCAGAAAAGGAAAACAAAAGTGTTGGTGTATGATCTAAATTTTAGATATTGGTTAATTTTACACAAAATAAAAATTGTAAATTTTTTTTTCTGGACTTCCAGAATATATTTACTATATTTGTCACAATTAAGTTATTAAATGAAAATTAATTAAACAGATACTTTAGAACCAGTATAAAACATTTCATTGTAAAAACAGGTCTTTGTGCAACAAGCATGGAAAAATAGGAATATAAACTTAACAGCAATATACAAATGTATATATCTCAAAAGGGAAAAAATGATCATTTTCTTCTAATAAATCTTCAGCAACAAAATAGGGTTCTTAGCTTAATCAAAGTTGAATGGAATTTAATCGCATATTTTCATTAGATTTATTGTTTAATATACAACGTAAAATCCCAATTCAATGTTAAAACTGACGCAGAATTTTTAGAAATATAGATCGAGACCGAAATCTGCTCTAAAGCTAAGGATCGAATCATCACTTCTTTTTAATTAAAACCTCTTTCAAGAGCAATAGATCAGTGAAAAGCCTTTGTTCCCTTTTCTTTATTGTAGGATTAGACTTTTTAATGAATTTCGTAGAAATAAATTCTACTCTTAGTTACCATTGCAACACCATTCATAGAAATAAAAAATGATCAAAATTGCTAGACCGCTTCATAAAACTCTCTGTGATGCACCTATGTGATTTACACCTCGTAGGAAGATCCTTTGTTTTGAAATAGAGAAAAATAACCCTTGGTTAATATTTTAATGAATAGTTATAAACTGATGTTTAGAAACAATGTGAAGGCAATGCAGCATATTTGGCAGAAATCGAATCAAGGGAGGAAAACGATTGGATTTCTAGCCTCATACGTGGTATGTTGTTCTTATTCATCTCATGTTTTAACAAGAGGCCCAAGAGCCTTATAGATCACCTGAGTATCAGGCACCTTTCCAGCAACTGAATTTGGTTCATGTTTTAATCCAAAAGCCATGAAATTCACATTTTGAAAGAGGCACCATTGCTTATCAAAGATCATATTTCAAAACATTAATTTACTTTTAGACAAAGAAAACCCCCCCCCCTGGTACCCCTGTCCCAGGGGCCCTGAAATTATCCATTTTCTTTATTATAAGGCCAGCATTTTTATATTTATAGATTTAGTTACGAACATCAGAATGAAAAAGTCCCGTAGGAGGAGGAAATGAAAAGAAAAGTATTTCTTTTTATATAGATACGATATTTGTACATTCATTTTTGCTTCTTTTTCTATGATATCCTAACAGGCTCTTTGCCACTGGACACATAATGGTTACAAATAGGAAAGTAGAACATTTAATTGTTTATTTCATCACCTGCCAGTTTAGGCTAGTGATATAAGTTCTGTGACATTGATCAAAATATGATAAGTCAGCCTTATTCAACATAACTATATACTTGGTTAGTTTTTTTAATGCTCAGGAGTAGAGAAGAAAATAAATTGTTAGAGAATTAATGTTATTTTCACAAAATAATCAAAAAAGCCCCGCCCTAATACGAGAACTCCTGACCCAGGGGCCATGACATTTACAATTTTGGATGAGGCAGTCTTATTCAACATAACTTTGTACTTGGTTAGTTTATTTAATGCCCAGGAGCATTGAAGATTTTCACTATATAATCAATAGAGCCCCGCCCTAACACCAGAACCCTTGACCCTGGGGCCATAAAATTCACAATTTTGGAAGAGGCACTCTTACTCATTATAACTATGTACTTAGTTAGTTTATTAAATACCCAGGAGCAGAGGAGCAGATTTTGAAAGAATTTATGCAATTTCACTATATAATCAATAGAGCCCTGCCCTAGCACTAGAACCCCTGACCCAGGTGCCAAGAAATTCACAATTTTGGTAGAGGCAGCCTGATTCAACATAACTATATACTTGGTTAGTTTATTTAATACCCAGGAGCAGAGAACATTTTCAAACTTAAGAATTTATGCATTTTCACTATATAATCTATTTAGCTCCGCCTTAGCCCCTCACCCAGGGGCCATGTATTTCACTATTTTGGTAGAGGACTCAATGCTGATTACAATTATGCTTGATGTCCAAGAGTAAAGATGAAGATTTTTAAAGATTTCATTAATTTTAGTGGTTTTGGCCCCACCCCTCAGGCCCCAGGGGGCAGGGACCATGGAATTCACAATTTTTGTTTCCCTTCACCCATAGATTTTCTGTGTCAAATTTGGATGAAATTGGTGAGTGATTGCAGAGAAGCTGAAAATGTTCAAATGTTAGCGCACAACGCACGACGACGGACGAAAACGGATAGCAATAGGCCACCTAAGTAGCCCTTAAAATGAGCTGAATAAATTTATTTTCATTTTTTCAGTGTGGCATGTATTTTCTAGCATTTAGATTTATAAAATATGCATTGTTTGGTTGGTTGGTTGGTCGGGTACTGCGTTGATCTTAATTTAAAGGGCATTCATACAAATAGTAATGAAATGAGTTTAATAAGCCATCTATTTACAAGAATCTAGAGAATTTTATTCCATTAAATATAATCTAGAACGGCAAGGTTTCGTGCAGTATCAATATAGTTCTGTCGCCCAAAAATGAATTTTTCGTCCTTAAAGCTGTTCAAGAAGCCAGTACCTTTGTGCCCTCATGCATCTACTAAGGGTTTTTCTTATGTTATGCAATTTATAATATATCTCTCGCAGATTATTGTGTAAAAGACTCGCCTTGGTGTCATACCTGGATTGGTGCCCGCGATATTGTACACGAGGGCGTCTTCACCTGGGGTCGTTATGGAAACCAAGTCACGTTCACCCACTGGGCACTTGGTCAGCCAGATAATGCGGGCAGCGTAGAACACTGCGTTCATCTTTATGCGGACGGACTGTGGAACGACATGCCTTGTCAAGTATCTATCTCGTTTGTTTGTGAAAAGAACATTGAATTGAATAACCAGAGTGACGGAGTGATAATAACTCGGGAGCAAGTTTGAAGGGATGCATGTAGCAGGAAATTATTTTTGATGTATCGCCGGTTTTTGAAAGACGAGAAAGAGAATTTTTTTTTATCTAGTTTAAAGCCGTTTGACCCTTATTATAAAGAATCATCATTTTTTTTTTATTTTACAATACTTAGCGAAGACAGGATAAAACATTGCATCGCAGTACCATATACATGGATTGTATAACATTCTCTTAACTCTTTACAACTAACTGAACTGTTATGCAACATACACTTAATGTTAACGTCATAGAAATATGACGATACCATTTCCCTGCAAGCACTTTACAGAGTGGTACAAGTTACTCTAAAATATTGTGACGTAATATTTTAATAAGCATACATTTTTTTTATTTTAGTATAAAATAGAAGGATATTGGCGTTAAAATAAAGATTAAATGAACTTCATAAGTGCGTGAAAATGCGTGATTGCGGGGAAAGGGTATATGCTTTAGAAATAGGAAATGGTATGTGTTAATGCGAGGAAGGGGGTTCAATTAAATATTAGAACGTTATTCTCATTAGATATGTTATAAATATAAATTTATTGTATATTATAATCGCAGAAATATGTCGTTCAGTCAAATTTGAGAAGTTTTTTTTTCAATTATCGTTTAGTTAATAGTGATCGGGAAAACTTTGGTTTTATATATACAAAATTATGGTACAGGTTGCTGTTGTTTTGCATTACATGTATGTTGTGGCTTTCTTATTTATTTGTTGTTTCATTTCATAGTTTCTACTTCTTGCGTGGTGTTCTTAAGTTTGTGCTTTGGATCATCAGTAACTATACGATATGCTTTGCATATGCTGCAGTTCTGTAACATGTGATATATTCTACATAATTAAAAGGACACAATGAGTCAAAACCATGTCTTTCTTTTAAGATATCTGTAACATACAGAGAAAGACATGAAAATTATGAGTATATAGCGAAGATATGACAATTGAACTGCAAGAATAGACTGCACAATATAATTGCCGGAAAAATAAAGGTTGCATCTACCGTTCCGTTGGTTCGTGTATGTCAAGGTCACGTTACTTTTATTCTTAGATCAAAACTTGTAAACAACATTCAACTGGAGCATGCAAAGGTGAGATATATGTTCTAACAACTTTTTGAAAGGTTCAACCAAATTTTTGGTCTACTCACATTCATTCGTGGATACCTGAGACCATGGTAACTATGGAAACTTATTCAACTTTTCTGCGCACGCGTATAATAGGGAGGAAGAAGTATCAGGGTATTCTGCAATATTTTCATTCTAGGGTATACAGAAATTATTTTTACTTATTTTCCCCCATAAAAATATAATTTTTAGGTTCTGAAAACTGTAATTTCCTGAAACCGAATACTTTTAGGATTTGAACAAAATTTACAGAGGTCATGTGCAAATTCTACATTTGTCAATTTTCCCCTTTGTGCTTTACTGTGCCGCTTTAAGGACCCTCTCTACACCAGTTCAAAATGTTTTTTGGATATTGAAAAAAATATATTCGATAAAGGTGTCAGTATTGAGCTTATTTATATGATTTTCAATATATGGTGCGTGGCATTTACCCCCAGGAAAAATAATCAAACACAACACAGCATCAGTGAATAGAAATCACTGTTGTTTACTTCCATAGAGAAAATATATGTAAATAACATGTTCAATTAATTTATCTCGGCCTTTCAAAATGTTAAGAATACTTGAATTGATTACAAATTGTGTAATAAACTGTGAATTTTTAATTTTAAGAATTTAGATCTAAGGGCAGATCACTCTAACTGCAAATAAATACCATAGAATCAGAACTCTTTAGTGTGCAGTGTAGAGAGGGTTCTTAAAATAATGTATCCTATTTTGCTGTATTTACAAATTTGGAGGGTGCTTTAAACAGACGTTTAATGAAATTGTGTTTACCTTTTTAACAGATAAAACAGGATTTGTTTTAACATAAACATGTTTCCTTACTTTATAACACCCCATTTCTCGTTTTGAATAAAATATTTTCTATATAAACCATTAGAATGCAACAATGCAAGTATTGCTGTTCGATACGTATCTCGATATCTTTATAACGATACGATATGTATCTCGATACTTTTATAAATAAGGGTATTATACTTAAATGAGTATTTTATTTGTATTATTGACAAAAATCATCAAAATATTTCATAATAATATAACATTTGCTTTGAAAATAATATATGAATTTTAAAATCTATTAATACCATGCATCGATTGGAAATTAAACAAAATCAGAATAACATATCTTGCCAAATGTCTAAATCAAGGTTGACTTTACAAATCATTTTAAAATCTTATTGTTTATAATTTCAAATCTTTAAGCCTCCGTAATCAAAAGTTCGTGGTGTATATATAGTTTTTGTTTTTGGAAGAGGCATTCTCGTTCATCATAACAGTTTGTGTAATACCCATAATCAGAGGAGATGATTTTAAAAGAATTTATGCATTTTCACTATATAATCCAAGGAGCCCCCCATAACACCAGAACCCCTGACATTTGGGCCAAGAAATTCACAATTTTGGAAGAGGCAGCGTTATTCAACAAAAGTTTGTACCTGGTCAGTTTATTTAATGCCCAGGAGCAAGGAAGACAATTTTCAAAGAACTTCTGCATTTTCACTCTATTATCTATTACACCCTGCCCTAGCACTACACCCCTGACCCGGGGGTCATGAATTTCACAATTTTGATAGAGGACTCAATGCGTATTCGGTCATACCAACAGTTTCACTGCTTGATGTCCACAAGTAAAGAGGAAGATTTTTAAAGATTTCATTAATTTTAGTGGTTTTGGCCCCATACCTCAGGCCCCAGGCGGACAGGGACCATGAAAATCATAATTTGTATTCCCTTTAACCATAGATGCTTTGTGGTTAAAATTGGTTGAGCGGTTGCAGAGAAGAAGCTGAAAATATTCAAATGTTAACACACGAAGGGCGATGTACGACGACGGACGAAAACGGATAGAAATAGGTCACCTGAGTTTACTCAGTTGAACTTAGAATTCCAAACTTTTACTTTGGTCGTAACTTTTAGCGGTCAGTGCTAGGATTTTCATATTTCACATAATTATGTATTCTTCGTGGCAGGGCCTTTCATTGGATGATAACAACTGTGGCGGTCAGCCGGGTTCGATCGCCGGTGGCCGGATAGCTCAGTTGGTAGAGCACCTGACCGGAGTTTCAGGGGGCCCGGGGTTCGAATCCCGGTCTGGTCCGCTGCATTTTCTCCTCTCCCGTTACACTTGGTGCCGTGCCATGCCCTGGAATTGACAGGTGAAAGACCTGCCAGGGTTGAGCCTGGTTGGGGTCTTTGGAGGGCCAAAGACCTTTAAGGAGGGAGGAATGTGGCGGTCAGCCGGGTTCGATCGCCGGTGGCCGGATAGTACAGTTGGTAGAGCACCTGACCGGAGTTTCAGGGGGCCCGGGTTCGAATCCCGGTCTGGTCCGCTGCATTTTCTCCTCTCCCGTTACACAACTTTGACCTTGGAGATTTCCTTACTTATAAAAAAATACTTTAACTTGGCCATAACTTTTCAACGGTTATGACTATGGCTTTAATGCTTCACATATGTAATTCTTGTGAGTAAACCTTTCATTGGATACCAATTACTCTGAAACTTTGTTCTTGGAGTTTGATCTCCTTTCAAAAACAAAAAGTTTGGCTATTAACTTTTGAACGGTTAGTGCTAGTGCTCGTATACTTGACATATGCAATTCCTCATCGTCTCAAGCCACGGTCCGGAGTCCGCATATAGCTCTCTCCTACCCGTGGCTGCTTGATCACAAATCTTGAATATTTACGCCTCTCTATTGTGACGTCATATTCAGTCAGTGGTAAGTTTTGTTTCCATCGCAATTGAAATCAACAACTGACGTCAACAGATACAAGAAATATTTCCTTTACTGCGATTGGATATTGAAAGGTCGCGATAAAGTTCATCTTCCGACTATGCTTTACTCGCATTGGTCAAGATTTTAATGAGCTACGAAGAATCCTCTCCTCGTTCAACCACGGCCAGAATGGGAGAGGATCGTACAATTTGGCCGTGGTTTGCGACGATGGCAATTCCTGTGACATAGGAATTTTCTTAAAAACCAACAACGTTGACCCTTTTGACCTACCTTTCAAAAACTGTTCCTTAACTTATGTACAGGTGGTGCTAGGGCTTTAATACTTTACAACTGTATTTCTTGTGAGAAGACCCTACCACCCCTACTAATGTGTTCGGAACCTTTAATTTTTTCGGTATTGTGCAAAACCCGACGATTTCAGAGTAGCTCTGACAGTGATTCTGGCGAGAATTAGCGAGAACACAGCGTAAATTTTTCACGGAAATATGGCTAGGAAGTGACTAGCACGTGGGGACATGGTTTAGCGGAAAAGATACGTTGTGTTTCAGTTTTCACCACCCTACAATATCTGTAGAAATGTACTTCGATCGATCATCTATCTTGAATTCTTTCAAACTTTAATAAGTATTCTCTATGATTCAATTTTCTGAGGTCATGTATTAAATTTTGTTTTTGGACAAATATTTTTGCAGTTGAACCGGGAATATGTTTTTGGGCGTCATATTAGGAAATGGGGTACCAACATGACTTTAACTGACAAATCAGCTAAATAAGAATTGCATTATGGGTTACTACGAATACAACCAGAATTTTACGACTGAAAAAACAAGAAAATCATATGGCGGTCAGAAGTGCACAAAGACCATTTTTGAATCCATTTCGTAACTGAAAAACATTATTTCAATTCTATTACTTTCATGCTTACAATGTCAAACAATTTATTTGTTAAATAAACGGTAGAAGTCTACATGTTGGTTTCTAATAATCATACTGCAAAGCGATTTTCGTCTGTATTAATTCATTTGTTGTACGATCGGTGAATACACTTGTCAGGTGGATTCCCTGGCCAAAACACGTGCTTTATGTGCTTTCGACTCTAATATTTTGATATAAATTACAAATCAGGTAAGACCAACACAGACGCAGATGCCTTGTCTAGTTACCCATTGTTTAATAGAAAGAGCACCGCAGAAGCGGTACAGACAGTATGTAGGAAAACTCAGATAAGTACGCATATTGTCAACATGGCAGAATCTGTGGAACCATAAGACATCATAGAAATAGTAGACGTTCCAGGACAATCTTTAGCTCAAATGGAAATAAGAGAACTTAGGAAATTACAGCATGATGATACTTTTTTTTTAAAGATTTAGGATAGAAGCATGCGCAGTGAGAAGAAGATATTGACGACCTAGACAGGCCATCCCATGGACAAAAGAGCACAGTACAATGAAGAAAAATTTTGACAACTAATCAGTGGGTTACTATAAAGGACCTTACAGCTTATATAAAACAAGATAAACCAACTAGTACTGCATAACCAACTTAATTCAATCAGCACGTATACGACTTCACAACAACCTTTGCCATCCAGGAAAAGATTGGACAACAGCTCTACTGCAGGACAGATTTTGTTGGGTAGGGATGAGTGATTTTTGATAAAGTAAACTGGATAAAGAACTATGACAGATGTCTAAGGAGAAAGTCAGCATGTCAAAAAGCTCCGTTGGTCAGTATAACATCATCTTATCCATTAGATTTTATTTGCTTAGACTACTTGACATTGGAACAATGCTAAGAAGGGATTTGTAACATCTTAGTCATAACTGATCACTACACCAGATATGTCATGGCTATTACAACAAGAAATCAAACTGCAAAAACAACAGCATTCTACAACTTTATCGTACATTATGGAATTCCTGCTAGATTGCAAAGTGATCAAGTAGCTCAATTTGAGAGTCATCTGATAAGAGAATTTTGCGAAATTACAATGATAGACAAATCGAGAACCACTCCGTACCACCCGATGTCAAATGGAATGACCGAAAGATCCAGCAGGACACTCCATAGTATGCTAGGAACTTTGGAAAATAAAGAAAAAGCAAGATTGGAAAAGGTATATACCATCTTGATTGCATGCGTACAACTGTACAAAACATGAAAATACTGGGTATTACCCGTTTGAATTGATGTTCAGGAGAAGCCAACACTACCAGGAGACGTAGCCTTCAGATTAGATAACGGTGAAGAGAAACGCAATTATGACGATTATATTACAGATTAAAAAAAAAAAACAAGATGAAGACATTTGACATAGTGAGGAAAGCAGCAGAAAAAGTCAGGAATAAAGCAGAAGTGCGATCTGACAAGATTGATTGATTGTATATTGTTTAACGTTCCTCCCGAGAATTTTTGCTCGTATGGAGACGCCACCACCCGCCGGTGGAGAGCTGCAAATTTTGTCCTATACTCGGCACTCAGGGCCATTGAGCAGGGATTGATCTTCTTCGTGCCAGCACCTACTGCGACACGGGACCTCGGTTTAAACGGTCATCCGAAGGACCAGTCTCCACGTCCCACAGTGGGATTCGAACCCGCGACGTAAAGATTGACTCCTTTCTTCCCGACTCTAGAGCAGGCACTCTAACCACTGCGCCTCACGGGCGACTATTTTGACAAGAAAGCAAAGGCACGCCTGCTAATCGATCACTTGCACAACCAGCAGTTGTGTATAATAATCAAAGGAGATCGATTTCCGGTTGTGCATTTGATGCGAATAATTCCAGTACACAGGTAGTTAATTGACCCGATTCAAATAATAAAATAAGATATTTTTATTAAAATATAAGAATGTGATTCCATGAGCAATTTACTTTCCTTTAACTTGACACTTTCAGAAAATGCAATGATCGTCGAATAGCGACTATATTTGTTTTGAAGCGAGGGCTGGTAGAGCGAAAACGCTGATTGAAAATAGTATTGTCAACTAGAATTCGTTTTAATCTCAACTAACCTTGAAAATTCAATGTCCACCATGAGTATGCTATAAGTGCATCCTATCCACCAAACTTGGGACTTCGATATGTATATAATTTGACAAATATTCGAAGAAAATAACATCGCCTATGCATGCGATCATTCAGTTGTGAAAGAGATCTCGGGTTATGCGTGAGATGAAGGACAAAAAGTTTCAAATTTTATGAATAAAATTGAACATTATATAATTATAACGTAGTCTTGCAAAATTTAAAAAGTAAAATCATAGGATTTTCTTGCAAATAAGTTGAATTTGTGAGGAAAAAAAGATATAAAAGATAAGTAAACTGTTGAAGTAGATCTGTTAGGGGAGGGGGTTAAAGTTTCAGTTACAATCAATATAATTACGTTAAACAAATTATGTGTGTATTATTTAGATCATAAATCTTGTGTGAGTTTTCCAATGCATCTTTAATATAACTATTCCGTATGCAAAAAAAAAACAATAATAATAAAAAAGAAAAAATAAAATAAAAAAAAAACAGCATATATATCAACTTCTTTCAGTACGAAATTGTTTAACTCAAGCATACCTTACCTTTATTTGACGGTACTGCAACAGAAGTGGAGGGAAAGACCCCGAATTTTTCATACTGTCATTTCATATATATTTTATAGTAAAAAGTGCTGTTTGTGAAAAAATAAGAGGCAGGCTCTCGATAATATGAGTTTATCATGGGGTAAGTATTTCCTGGTGTTTTGAAGCTAGGTATCCTGAATTTTGTTATCGAGATGGAAAGGATCAATAGGACAACATCACATCACAGGTGCTTGTGGATAGCCCCCCCCCCCCCCCCCCCCTCTCTACTTGTTGGACACTTTTTTTTTCATCTCACTAATTATATTTATTACATTTATTCATCATGTATACCATGGGGGAAAAATCGTCAAAAACCCAAAATAATAGTTCAATAAAAAAATACCCCTATTATACATTCCAAATAAAATTGATGCAAAGCATCAAATCGGCCGCAAAGTTTATAATTTCAAAAATTACTAGTACTTTCACAATTTCAAAAGCATCAATGCATGGGAAGCACAAAATATTCAAAGCTGAAATATCGGTAGATCATATTCATTTCAGACTGTCTTCAAAGCAAAAATAAATAAAATGTTTTCTAATTAAATAGAAATTTTAGTGCATTTGTTCATCCAAAGGAGTCAATAATGTATAAAAAAGTCAATGATGAATGATAAGAATTTATGAATGAAGATGTAGACGTCTCAAGATGAACCACAAGCTGAAACCCTGGATCTTTGTCAGGTGATAATACCCATGGTTTCTTCAGTAGATTAATCAAGGCGCGTAGTATGATGGAAAAAAATGTAAGAAAAATCTTTTTGTTGTCACATCTGTAGCACATTCAAAATTCAATTTTTACTACAGTGTAGCTGAAAAACTTTTTCAATTTTTATTCACCTTGCAATTTTTACCACTTCATTATTATCCGCAAAATCATGACGATTTCCTTTCATGGGGAGCACCTATTGTAAATTCTTTTTATATAACCATATATTATTAATTACCCAATTAGAAATGGTAATGAAATTGAAACAACAACAATAAATACTCAGTTTAAAGCAAGTTTTTAAAATTAAGATTAGTTTACAGAACTAATGAAAAATAACGTCTCATTTCCTTATATAATAGCTGCAGATCTGTAGCTCTCCGAAAAAAATGAATTGATAGAGCGGAGAACAATCATGAGGAATGTTTGGTTGTCAAACAGCGAAAGAATATGTTAAGAACATACGGTTAGTATTATTTTGAAATCACAGTTTTAAAAACAAGGAAAAATAAATCGATAACCGAGCGCATTTTTTTGTGCGCAATAAATATACAGTTTTTTTCAATGGGTGGCTCTGTAGCTCTCCGGTCTATCAATATTTTTTTTCAGAGAGCTACAGATCTGCAGCTACCTATATAAGAGATCGGCCGCTGCTGCTGAAAAAGTCAAAATGTGCTTGCAAAAATGACTGAACATCATTGGCGGATCTAGAAGGTGGTTCCTGGGGTTGCACCCCCCCCCCCCCCCCCTTGATTTTTGCAGAGAGAGAGAGAGAGAGTTGTGTAACATGGATCTTTTATTACGTCTAATATTTTGAATAAAATAAATACTTTGAATAAAAAAAATATTTTGAATAAAATAAATACACTGTATATGTTTTTCATTCTCTGTCCTTTCTGATCGCTATAAATAGAGTTCCCTCGTTCAATATATGTGCTTTCCTCCGAGTACCGTCACAATCCCAGCCTGGGTGCGACTACCAACACGTCCTATGCAAGGTTTCACTTTGAAACCAGTGGAAGATCAAAGCGAATTATAGGTACATGTATATCTACTGCTTGCTTGTTTGTGTTTTTGTTTTATTTGTTTGTTTGTTTGTTTGTTTTTGGCTAGTCAAAGTCCCCCATAGAATTGTTGAAAACTCAGTGTTGCCAGATTTGAAGTGCCTATATGCATGAGTGTTGGACACCTGGACACCCCCCCCCCCTTTTTTTTCAAAAATTGCTGGATCTGCCCCTGCAACGTCTTCATATTATAGCCAATATTTAAAATTTTATATTTACCAAAAATAAAATAGTATAATAGGTGAATTTAAAGATTGTTTAATACTTTCGTAACTTTTTATCCTTTATCTCATGCATAACCCGAGATCTCTTTCACAACTGAATGATCGCATGCATAGGCAATGTTACTTTCTTCGAATATTTGTCAAATTATATAAATATCGAAGTCCCAAGTTTGGTGGATAGGAGGCACTTGTAGCATACTCATGGTGGACATTGAATTTTCAAGGTTAGTTGAGATTAAAACGAATTCTAGTCGACAATACTATTTTCAATCAGCGTTTTCGCTCTACCAGCCCTCGCTTCAAAACAAATATAGTCGCTATTCGACGATCATTGCATTTTCTGAAGGTGTAAAATTAAAGAAAAATAAATTGCTCAAGGAATCACATTCTTATATTTTAATAAAAATATCAATTATTGCCTGAATCGGGTCAATTTACTTCCTGTGTACTGGAATTATTCGCATCAAATGCACAACCGGAAATCGATCTCCTTTGATTATTATACACAACTGCTGGTTGTGCAAGTGATCGATTAGCAGGCGTGAAAGGCAAAGAAGTTAAGTATTGGAAATCAAGTTTGATTACGGATTTTTTTTTATTATGATGGAAGATAGAAGTTTCAGAAGATTTATTTTGTTAAATCACAACCTAACCGCGACATTTCAGTTTTTCTAATTTCAGGTGAAGATGGTGAAGAGAAGACAGTCCACAGGAATTAAATTATTCCTACAGGAAAAAGAGAAGAAGTTACAGATGTCAGGTCTGAGACAAAAGTACGAAGAAAAACAGAGAAGAAAAGTACACAGATTTAAGAAGGTGGACACATTCAAAGACAGAGGAGAGAAAATACCCAAGTAGTGACTGTGAGACTGAAGATGAGGTTTATCTCTTATAACTGATGATCTCTTTTGGTTGCACCCTCCTTCATTCATGATCGGAATAATTTATTTCTCACCTCTTGTATTTTTTTCTTTGTAAACTTTTCTTGTAGGCTGAATATAGTACCCGCAAGTTTTGGAGCATTTTCTCGCCCTTTTTTTTAATTTTGTATGAGCTAAATTTTACTGCAATTGGACTTGGTTTCTCTCTCTCTCCTTTTACTGCCAAAACATGGCTGAAAGATTGCCGACTTTGCGTTAAACAATATTCAATCAATCGTCCACTTTTCCTATTCTGTGCGCCTTCGCAATACTTTCTCAATTGAATGGTAGATTGAGTTTTGTTTCACAGAAATCACTTATCAAAGCAGCAAACTTCTCCTGTCTGTTGCCTCTATATTCAGCCAACCCGAAGAAGAAGAAGTTTGCAAGTGGCGACAATTCAAAGCATTTTGAGTGGTACTGATTTAGTCAATAATAGCGAAAATCATATATAAAGTGACTGACTGACGTAACAGAGACCAAATGCTTACCAGATCATCTAACAGTAAAAGATGCCTACCCCCTTCCTCGTATAGACGAATATGTTGATGCGTTGTCAGGGTCTAAGTACTTTTGTACACTTGACATGGCAAGTGGGTACTGGCAAGTGGCCATGAATGAAAATGATAGGCATAAAACTGTGTTCGTAGCACATTCTTGAGGATCTTAAAGAACTTCTTAGGTCATCATCCTGTCCTTTTGTGTTTCATCAAGGAATGAACTGTCCAGTTGTGCCCTGTGGCTTCACCTC